GCATCTGAACTTCCAGACATAGAATTAAAAAAATAAGAATGCCAAAATTATGACTTGCTTCAAAAATAAAACCTTCTGCAATTTTACAGACAGTTGCTTTTTAAATGTCTACACAGATGTCTAGACTGTTATCAATCCTAAACATTGTGCGCCACCCAAGGATGTAAATTCTGCCAGACAACATTTCTTTTAGTTCAAGAAGAGGAATTATCTGCTGGCCTTAACCCTAAACCCAAGCCTGATTCAAAATATTTGTGTGTGTGTGTGTGTATGTCAGAAATTGTAGTCAGTAGTTCTTTGCAAAAATAAGTTGTTATCTGGAGGATTTAATTTTTAGTAAACAAATGAGCAGTGAAAATGTATGTAAATAGGCAATTTTGTAAAAAGTATCCATCTTTTGTAGATGGAGTTTTCTTGAGGGGGGGGTGAAATTAACAAGAATATATTGTAGAAACTTTCAAAAATGCCTACGAACCTCTAAAAATTTAGAGTTAAGGAAGCTTAACTGCTTATTAAAAATATTTACTTGAACAGAAATATTTTTCCTAATCCAATGGTGAGTCCACAGCTGAATTAGCGAAAATGGGATAAACAGGTCCCTTCAAATTTACTGAAACTTTTCATTACACATGCACAGACCAAATTTCTTCCCAAATCTCCACTCCCCAGAATCCATGTTTTCTGATAGCGCATGTTAGTGAGCTTAGCTTTAAATAAGTGAATAGTGGATAATTGACTCCTAAACATAACAGAGCGAGAGAAAATTGGATTTCAGATAAAGAGGGAAAGCAATTGGAATGCAAAACAAAATTCCCCCCGCATATGTGAGGATTGGTAGTGTAATACCCTGTTGGAGTTTTGGCTTAGAACTATACCAGTTGGTATCCTTTAACCACTGGACCATCAGAGATTTGAAATGCCACCTCGTCTTAGCCTGTAGCACCATTTCATCTTAACATTCAAGATCACATAAAATAGTGGAAAAAAAATTAAATTCCACATTAATATGAAATGCTTTCTAAGAACTACAGAATAACGGCTTCCAAATTAGTATAGAATTGAAGCATTTTCCCAAATTTTATGCCATCTGTCTAAAACTAGGTAAAAATTCAAGCCTAGTGAGCGCATCTTAAAATTTGAGGGGAGTAAAGTCGGATATAACAATTTAATAAATTGGGAATTATTATTTCTGATTTTTAGCAAAGCTTTAATAAATTCTAAAAGACCAAATTAATAACATTTGTATGTTAAAATGTTCTAGTGTTACAGATGTGTAAAAATCTCCACTGAAAATCATGAATGCAGTTTCAGACCACATTATCATCTCAGTTGGGACTGATGAAATAGACACTTGTCACGAAATAGCTTATGCGATTAAAGCTCTGTTGCTGCACTACAATATTGCTTATTTCAGTAAATTCACAGACCACAAAACTCTTTGTGGTCTCCATCTGTGCTCCTCTGAACAGCTTCTTTGCAGAGCAGGACAAATGCTGCTAGTTTTTCCTTGCTCCTGAGTAGGGTTGATAACCCACAATAAAATATAACAGATATGTATTGGTTCTGCAGAAAAATCAATAAAAAATCTTCTCCAAGACCGTAAAAAAAAATATTGTCCATTCACTCCACAAATTCCTGTTCCCTCATGCCATCTTCCTTATGGCTGCTTGGATCTATCAATTTGACCTAATCTAAAAGCCAGGACTGAATATGTGCTTCATTGGCAAGGCCAAACCGTCTGATTTCAGTACAATTCACTGTGGCCCAATCCTAGTAAAATTTGTGTTGACTGTTGCTTCCCAATTCTCATAAAATTTGTCACATATATTTCTTAAGAAACTGTCCAATGACAAAATAATGTTTTCGTATGATTTTACATGTAGCAGTAAAAAAGCAAAAGTATTTTTTATTCATGAATTTAATTTGAGGTTGTTGGTAGCACAACTTCTGAGGTAGAACAGTGTTTTCATAAAGTAGCCTGGCAACACAGCCACAATTTAGTAAAGTGAATTTTGGTACTCGACTGCCCATGCTTGTTGGTAATGCGGTAGTGAGGATCAATTTCAAGATCCTCACGCTCGTTTTCAAATCCCTTCGTGCCCTGGAACCTCCCTACCTTTCCGACCAGCTTACCCCCAACCCACAAGCCGCTGCCTCTGCTTGACTGGCTCTGGCCTGCTGCTTGTCCCTCGTGCCCTCCATTCTACCATTGGCGGCTGCGCATTCAGCCACGATGCCCCAAAACTCTGGAACACTCTTCCTCTATCCCTCTGCCTTGCCCCTTCTTTCCCCATCTTCAGGTCGCGCCTGAAGACCTCCTTGTTCGACTGTGCCTACACCTCCCCCTCCCCCTGTCTTGGTGTCATGCTCCACCACTGTGAAGCTCTCTGGGATGCTTTCCTGTGTGAGGGATGCTATATAAATGCAAGTTGTTGTTGTAGTTGATGCTGTTTGTTATTGTGATTTGCCACATGTAGGTTGTTTTTTTTTTGAAAAACTGAGCAAGCAAAATGCAATTACTGTGCAGTGTGGCTCAGACCTGAAGAGTGCATCCATTGTATTTGGATCATCTGTACCATGTAGGCATTTGTCCCCGCTGGAAAGTTTGAATAGTGACTGGAAAATATAACTCATGGGGAATGCTTTATACATTACAGATTAGATACTTGTCTTTTTGAAGGCCTGTAAAGGACATTTCTGTTTATAGAATGGGAACACACTGTTTTTTTCAATTAAGTGAAGTATCCCTGCAACCAATTGCAGTGCAATGGGCCCTTCATTTCAATCATATGAATTTAATTATGTATAAACATCCTGCAATTTGTGCAAAATGGAAGATTTTAAATGAGGTATTCTTAAGTAAGTAAAGATGTATTGTTCTCCCTTGCCCCTCCTGAAGATTTTTTTCCTTCTCCCGAAGTACAGAACAATACAATTTTACATTTCTATAGTGTTTTTCATGCCAAGAGGAGTCCCAAGACTCTGAACAGTTCACAGTTTGCGCCAGAGCTGGGACTGGGGACTGCGGCATCCTCCCATGCCTTGCCAAAATGAATTGTGTGAGCCATGACAGTCTTACATTACTTTTTAGCTAACAAGAATTTTTGATCTTTTGGCCAAATGCATGCATATGAATTATAATAATATAAATAATTCTTGCATTTGTTAGAGTGCCTTATCACATCTTTGAGGCGTCACAAAGCGCTTCACAGAATATACTGTAAAGTGAATTGACTGTATATTTTGTGGGCGAAAAATTATCTGGTTTACAAGTATAGTATCACATTGCATAATAATAGTAATAATCCTTGCATTTGATATAGCACTCTGAGACACTACCCTGTGTGGAGGGTGCAAGTTATCATTGTTATTGTTCTTGTAAAGTCTTATCACATCTTTGAGACATCACAAAGCGCTTCACAGAATACAGTGAATTGACTGCATATTTTGTGAACCAAACATGGCAGCCAAATGCACACAGCAGTGTCGCACAAACAGTCATGGATTGAGTGGCCAAATTATCATTATTTATTTATATATATTTTTATTTTTGAAGGGATTATTATCCCCGGAAAGCGATCCACTAATCAACTAACAACCGGGTTCCTACTTACTGCTAGGTGAACAGAGATGTGTAGAGTAAGGAAAGTTGCCCAATGTTTCGCCCTGCCCGGGAATCAAACCCAGTTCCTCTCGCATGTGAGGCGAGTGCTCTAACCATTAAGTTACAGGACTCCCCATGTCTGCATTCCGAATAATCACATTTACTTGATCGCAATAGAGCTGAAATCTCAGATGGAGTCAGCAAAATTTCCCACAAGGAATAATTAATTGCGTGTGTGGGTTATTTACTTAGATACAACTTCAGTAATTAGGTCACTTTTAAGCTGTAGGTATACTGCCTTGGCACATGCATAGGACACCACCACCAAAATATATATTTTTAACATCATAAGAGTCATTAGTGCAACTGGTTCTTTAATAATGTTTAAACCGGCTCCATTCAAAGTTCAGAAAAATTTTAATTGATATTGCATGGGTACAAATTGCATCAATCCATGTCTTAGGTGTAGTCCATGTTTACTGCACTTTTTAGGGCAAATCGCTGCCAAACATACAGTACAGTGGAAATTCACTGTTCAGGACAGGATTATTTTGTTATTATTAGTGAGATTCTCTCATTAATGAGGCTAGGATTTTGGTCACCCTTTGTTAAGAGGAGGGTGGGGGGTCCTTTGAAAAAGTGAACTAAATAATGAGTTGCTCTGATTATTGAGGTGTTCACACGATCTGATTCTGCTGATTAAACACATTATTCTCCAATGGATGAAGTTGGTGAAGGTACTTGGCAGGCCAACGAGCAACACTGCTCTTAGGTTATTAGAAAATAATCAATGTATAATCAATAACCTTTGATATACTGCCTTATTACATAATTATTACATCATAAGTAGGAGGGATGTAATGCACTGAACAGGACTACTATTTATATGCAAATACAGCAGCCAATTTGGATGCAGCAATCCTTCACGAACAGCCATGAAGTAAGTCACCCATTTTATTTGGGAGATCGTTGGCCTGGAATAGGTCCATAGGATCTTTAACGTCCACCTGAACAGGCAGACAGGACCTCAGTTCAATGTATCGCTGCAGCAATGCAACGCACCTCCAGCAATGTCAATCTAGACTGGGAAGTTCAAACGGCTTTACAGAGACAATAAGAAGTTTACTACCTCTAACTTAAAGGTTTATAAACACAAAAGCTAAACATGAAAAATAACAAAAGCAAACAAAATCTGAATTTAAAATGTAAAATTGTGCTTTCATCATGAAAGACTTGTGTTTCATCTCTTTTAGAAAATGTATGTTTTTCTGATAGTGATCAGAGTTAATGTGTGATTAGCTTCTTGATAGGATAAATACCATATACTGCTACTGTTTCATTTCTGTTTTATCTTATCAAACTTTAAGTGAATATTTTCTTCAATTGTATCTTGCAGTGCATATCACATCATTGCCTGGGGTGTGCCATTCATTCTCTCCTGCCTGCCCCTCTTTGGAGATTACTACGGACCTGCTGGAGCCTGGTGGTAAGAGTCCAGTTTTCCCTCTAGATTTTAATACCGTATAAGGAAAATTCTGTGTTAGAAGAGTTGCTTGGAATTGGCTGGTTTGTTGACAAAAGAAAAAATCCAAAATAAATTGTTTTCTGGGATTGGAATATAATTTAAATATAAATTTTTATTTGATTACAAACAGTTGAGATGCCGGCTCTTTGTAGACTGGTCACCTCTCCTTTCTCTCCAGCTCAGCATCAAACTCCGCCTCCGGCATTCCTAGACACTATCCAGTGCAAAGGATGTTATATAAATGCAAGTTATTGTTTAAACACAAAAAACATTTCGGTTGAAAAGTAGTTAGTTGGATAACCCTTTTTTTTGGTCAGCCAGTTGTCTGACACATGAGGAACTCTCAGTCTGGTTTGGATACTCTGTGGAGTCCTGTAGCTCAGTGGTTAGAGCACTTGCCTTGCAAGCGAGACACCTGGGTTCAATTCCAGGCAGGGTGAAATCTCCACACGCCTAATAATAATCCCTCCAAAAAGCAAAACAATAATAAATTGGTCATTTTCAATCCATGACTGTTTGTGGGACACTGCTGTGTGCAATTAGCTACCGCCTTTCACCCACAAATATACAGTCAATTCACTTTACAGTATATCCTGTGAAGCGCTTTGAGACGTCTAGAAGATGTGAAAAGCGCTATACCAAATGCAAGGATTATTATTATTATATTATTATATTACTCTTAACCATCACCATGCTTAAGAGTATCCAAACCAGACTGATTTTGCATGTAGATAAACCTTACAATTAATAAAATTGCTAAATGAAGTTTCTTGTCATTTAGAATGGTCAAGATTGTGCAGGAAAAGAAAATGTTTGGTTATTGATTTTTTTACCCTCCTTATATTTCTTATATTCTTCTCTCCTGGAAGCAGCAACTCAGTGAATTTCCCAGCTGGTTGTCGTTTCAAGACCAACAGAAGGAGCTCCCCTTGTAAAAGTTGATAAATAGACTGTGTAGTATTTTACTTAAAAAAGGAAGGTCCCAGGTCCAATTCCAATTTCCAGTGTCCTGGACTCAACCTCACTTCATGCTAATCCTGTTCCAGTCGTTAATTACCTTCTGCTATAACGTGACACTACGGCAAGCGCATTTTTATATTTTGGATACAGTAGTGGGTTTGGCTGTGATGAATAACCCTCTAGCACTCACATTTCCGGCTCACCCATGAAGAATAGTTAATTGAAAAACATACCAGAGAGCTGACTTCAGAGCCACACCCCCATAAACTCCCACATTTATGGAGTTATGGTGGATGTAAAGTGGAGGTAATGTGGAGGAAAAGGGGAGGAGGCACAAAGTGTTTTCCAATTCTACTTTGGTTTCTGGGCTTCTTCCCCATAGGCTGTCTCAGAAAGGATGACCTTTCAATCAGCAATCTATCAATATTTAGTGAGATAGCTCTCATTGACCCTCATATTGGAGCCAGGAAGAAAATGACATTCTGCAAGCCCATCACACAAACGTACGGTTTAACAATCTAATTGGTCGAAAATGGATTTACTTGCAGCAGCCAGTTATGCTTGGCTCTGTCCTGTCCCCATCCCCCACCCTAGAGTTTCACTCTTGAAACTCAACACATCCCAAACCCCTCCTACTTAACCCAAGCTGAGCCCTGCTCCAGTTCAGCCATGAAACTTCATGACCCTCACTGAAATCTGGATCACTCCAGGCGACACCTTCCCCCTCACTCGGCTATACCTCCCACGATACCCCATGTCTCAAACGCTATGGTGGTGGTGGTGTGGCCTTCATCTCCAGGACCTCACTTGCTTTATCCCCTTACTCCTCTGGCACATTCCCTCATTCAAGCACTTTACACTCTACCATCCCTCCAATCTTTCCCTCAAAATTCTCCTTATTTACCGCCCCCAAAACCTCCCCCACTATCATCTCTGATGTCTCCACCCTCCTAGCATCTCTCTGCTTCTATTCTGAATGCCTCCTCATCCTCGGTGACTTCAACCTTCACTTCACCCCCTCCTGCTCTGTCTCCTCAGACTTCTCCTCTCTCCTCTCACAACCTCTCCCTGCCACCCACGTTCATGGCCACCCACTCGGCCTGGTGACTACACAGGACCTCAGTGTCTCGGATGTCACAATCACAGACAAAGCCATCTCGGATAACCATTTAATCTCCATTAACTCCTCAATCCCTCTCCCCACCACCACTCAACCCACCTCCATCTCCTACCACCCCTGGAAAAAAATCTTCCCGCAATCTCTCTCCGCTGCCCTGGAGACATTTGAACTCCTCTGGGCTTCCTCCCGCACTGATTTATCCTCCTCACCCACACTTATCCACAACTCCCTCTCCACCACTCTTGATGGCCTTGCCCCTCCTACCTCTCCTACCTGCTGACCCGCTATCAACCTGTTCGCTCCCTCTGTTCAGCAGGCTCCAGCCTGTTCCATGTCTCCCACCCGACCCGCCCTACTTTTCAGCCTCTCCGCCCCCACCCTTTGGAACGCCATCCCACAATCCCTTTGCCTTGCTCCATCCCTTGCCTCCTTCAAGGCACGATTCAAGATCTTCCTTTTCAACTGTGCCTTCAGTCACCCTCCTACCTCCCTGCCCTCCCTCATCCCAACCCTGCCCTCCCATCCTTGGGTCCTGATCCCTGACTGTTCAGCACCTTGGGACGTCCTCTCGTCGTGAAAGGCGCATTACAATGTAATTTTTGTGGCTGTTGTTGTTTGGTTCTTGCTTCAACTTGAGCCAATTCCATGACTCAAACTTGACGTGACTTCTTCCTGCTCCAATTCGACCCATATACCATTAAATCCTGCTCTACCTTGGCCTAGCTTCCACTAACAAGGAGAGCAGGAGGGAAATAATTGGAGGAGAAAAAAATAATAAAATTTGGTCTGCTTTTGCACAAATGTGGTGTTCCGTCCGTTTTCGTTTGTATTGTGAGTAGTAGAAATAAACAATCCGGCATCCGTTTTCAATGTAATTTGACCTGGTCCAACTCATTAAGTGTGGAGTCAGATCAGTGTGCAATTGAAAACTTCCTTTTAGTATCTGTAGTTTTATCCGTTTTGAGTTTGGGTTTGTGTGAAGTTGACAATTTTGAACAATTTTTCAAGAAATTGGACATAAACCCAGGTCTGCCTGAGCAGGCCAAGTTTGGATGGGCTGGACATTTCATATTTCTTGCAAAAGCAAATCCTGTATACAGAAATGAAAAACAAAAGGTCCTAAGAGATTCCAATGCTGCCAGCATGTCATCCAAATGGCCATTCGACATAATTGAGCCCTTCCAGGCAGGGCGAAACCTTGGGCAAGTTTCCTTACTCCACACACCTAATAATAATCCCTCCAAAACCAAAAACAATAATAAAAATTGGTTATTTTCAATCTATGACTGTTTGTGGGACATTGCTGTGCGCAATTGGCTGCCGCGTTCGCCCACAAATATACAGTCAATTCACTTTACAGTGTGTTCTTTGAAGCGCTTTGGGACGTCCTCCCGACGTGAAAAGCGCTATATTGAAATACAAGGATTATTATTATTATTATTAGATGGTGAGTGTCAGCAGATTATTGAACTATTTCTGATTGTGTCTCTATCTGACCTACACACGTAAGCACTTTTGAGCAAGAATCACTGTGGAGCAGGGAACCAAGACAATTTTTCCCCTGGCTAGCCAGGGATGTTGAGTTTGCTCGGTTTTCATAGTTGAGTTTCTGTTAGATTGCTCTCATATAATTAGTGCATTACAAAATTTATGGAGATTAGGTAGCTTTCACATAAATGGAAAGTTACACTAAAATGGCGACTAAATTGGTGATTTAGTCGCAAAGTCACATCTTCAGGATAAGATTTCCATTGTGCCATTCTTCCCATTACAATTGATTAAAGGGCTAAACTAATGACTGATTTCCATCAAGTTCATGAGAGCGGTTTGGCGAAGGCTCTATAGACTACTTCATAGCTATTTTTGGGCTGTGTGCTGCGACAGTTCTCACCCCTTGATGTACGTGCAAATTTTATTAACACTTTCGTACTAAATGGCCTCTGACAGTGTAACCGTGACAGTGCAAACTGGCTGCTGCAGTACGATTATACTGTAGACTTTAGAAAAAATCCTGTAAACCATTTGCGATTTCCTTCCAAAGTGAAAGGTGCTATATTAAATACACAGTTATTGTGATTTCAATTGATCTTGTCCTTCCCAAATCCCAATCCTATTATCATTGCACTACAACATTCATTCTTAAATTTTTGTACCTCACACCCACGGCAGACGAAACCCTCATTCAAGCCTTTTTTTCACGTCCTGGCTGGATTTTTCAAATGTCCTCTTCGCTGGCCTCCCTAGTTCCACCGTACACAAAATACCATTAACTCAGAACTCTGCTGCCCAGAAACTAACCCGGACCTCCATCACACCAGTCCTTGCCAGGCTGCATTGGCTCCCAATTTCCGAACGGATCACTTCCTCTCGTTTTCAAATCCCTCACCCTCGCACCTCCCTACCTTTCCGACTTCCTCACCCCACATTCCACCACCTGCTGTCTCCGCTCGGCTGGCTCCGACCTCCTTTTCGTCCCTCGCCCCCTCCGCTCCGCCATCGGTGGCCATGCTTTTAGCACTACGCCCCGAAGCTCTAGAACTCCCACCCTTAATCTCTCTGCTTTGCCCCCTCCTTCCCCACTTTCAAATCCCGACTAAAGACCTTCCTTTTTGATCGTGCTTACGGTCAGCTCCTCCCTCCCTCTCCACTGGTTCGGGGTCGGACTCCACCACTGTTGGGCACTCCGGGATGCTACCCGCATGAAGGGCGCTATATAAATGCAAGTTGTTGTTGTTGTAGCCAATGTCCTGCCGTTATAAAATGTCATTCAAACTCTGGTTGGTTACCCATTCCTGCTGTTGATTATTCTGTGTAAATAAATGCCTCCTGGTATTTGTCCTAAAAATGCCCTTTACAATCTTGAGCCTTCTCCTTATTCTCC